ACGTGGAGTATAGTGTGGGAGTGGAGTCAAGGGAATTGTAATAGATATGTGTGATATTGGGAAGTCGGGCGGCGGATTGGGGGAGGGGGGTTGTCACTTCGAGGGGTAAAAAGTATAACTATTGCACTGTGTTGTACAGCTGAAATTAATTCTAAAAAATGTGTATTTCATAATAAAAAATAATTTAAATATGAAAAAAAAAAAAGACAGACTCAGGAAAACAATGGGACTCTACTTTATTAGGCAACATTGAGCGTCCATCCTGTAAGAACCAAGGCCCATTCTGAGCGCTGGCCCCATGCCTAGGAGGCGGTGGTTTCACATTTCCCAGAAATACCTTGTCTACTCTCCTCTCCTAACAAACCCCTTCACCCGCTATCATGCTCATCTCTACTGTTGGAAGGCTCAAGGACCCAAGAACAAAGCCCTGGAAGCACCCTAAAATCAAGGGCAACCTCTGTAGCACAACTTCTCCGATTCAAGCCAAGATCTCTCCAGAGGACAGATGACAGCCTCATAACCAACACTTCCTTAAAAATAATGTTCTCCGTATATAAAAGCTATCGGACAGAATTCTAGCTTTGTGTGTATAGAATAAACATAAGAACAAGGAAATGACAAGTGCTTACAGTGATGATTATGGGGCTGTGAGTGCCTGTCGGGTAAAGACATGAGCCCACCCTGCAGAGTGTAAGACAGCTTTTACTGCGATGAGACAGAAACTACCGTCAACTAGGGCGAGACAGCTGAGGGTCTCCACCTTCACTTCACACTCAAAACATGAAGCCCCACAAGGACTGGTACATCCCCTGGCATACCACATTCACCACAGGAAGGTAGCAGAGATCAAAGCAGACGTGTCCATCTCCTCAGTGTATGCCTTTCCTGGCAGGCTCTGTTCCACTCTTATCAGAGGAAAGACTACTGAGACTCTGGTTCCAAGACACACTTCCTTGTGTTTCGGTGTTCCTCACACTTGCTAAAAAGAAAACTTTTGGACTTGACCGTCATGTGATGACTCAGAATTGGAGGAGCCCCTCCACCTTGACCTGAAATCAAAGCCCAGAACACAGAGCCAGGAAAAGCCGGTTCTGACATGGGCAGGGAGCCTGGAATTTTAGCCCAACAAAGTGGCAGCTTAATAGATTTCTGGTATTTCTTCTGAGGACTCAGCTGGGCTGTGGGCCATGCTGTCTTCTGTTCCACATGGAGAAACACTCCCCTGTCCTACCAAAGAGGAAACTGAGGCACGGAGGGTCAGGAGAAAGGGAGCCAGACAAGCTATGAAGTGAAACAAAAAAAAGACCCAACTTTCCAACCTTCCGTTCTTGTGCCCTGTTCTTGGAGTGTGACTCCGACCACTAAGGTGATGGGATCCTCGGAATGAGGCTGAGCAGGCGTGAGATTCTGGCAAAAATCCCAGAAGACCATTCAGGAAGAACGGCTTTTCTAATGAGACGTCCCCACTTGGGGGCAGTGCGACAGTTCCCTCTCCTGGGCCCGTCCCTTCACGCTCCCTCTTGGCCACATCAACTCAGCTTCTCTCTCATGTGCGTCCTCTGATGCGTGATGAAGTTGGAGCTGTTGCTGAAGCCTTTGCCACACTCGGGGCATCTGTACGGCTTCTCGCCTGTGTGGATCCGCTGGTGTATGATGAGAACTGAATTCCAGCTAAAGCCCTTGCCACATTCAGGGCACCTGTAGGGCTTGTCCCCCAGGTGGGCCCTCTGGTGCATGACCAGGATGGAGCCCCGGCTGAAGCTCTTGCCGCACATGAGGCACGCGTAGGGCTTCTCGCCCGTGTGGGTCCGCTGGTGCACCACGAGCTGGGAGCGCTGGCTGAAGCCCTTCCCACAGTCCCCGCACTTGTAGGGCTTCTCCCCCGTGTGGGTCCGCTGGTGCTTGATGAGGTTGGAGCTCCAACTGAAGCTCTCCCCGCAGGTCAGGCACTCGTACGGCTTCTCGCCCGTGTGCATGCCCTGGTGTGCAATCAGGCTGGAGCTCTGGCTGAAGCTCTTCCCACACTCGCCGCACTTGTAGGGCTTCTCCACCAAGTGGGTTCTGCGGTGCGTGGCCAGATTGGAGCTGCGGCTGAAGCTCTTCCCACACTCGCCGCACTGGTAGGGCTTCTCTCCTGTGTGCGTCCTCCGGTGGGTGATGAGGGCCGAGCTCTGACTGAACCTCTGCCCACAGTCGGGACATTTGTACGGTTTCTCCCCCGTGTGGATCCTCTGGTGTCTGATCAGGTTGGAGTTGTAACTGAAGCTCTCGCCACATTCTTTGCATTCGTAGGGCTTTTCTCCGGTGTGGATTCCCTGGTGAGTATTAAGGCTGGACCGGTTGCCAAAGCTCTTGCCACACTCTGGGCATGAGTACGGCTTCTCCCCCGTGTGGGTTCGCTGGTGAGCAATGAGATTAGGGCTCCTGCTGAAACTCTTGCCGCACTCGGCACACTGAAAGGGTTTCTCACCCGTGTGGATCCTCTGGTGGGTTATGAGGTTTGCACTCCGGCTAAAGCTTTTCCCACAATCCCTGCATTTATAAGGTTTCTCCCCGGTGTGAGTCGTTTGATGTCTACTAAAGTTTGAACCATCACTAAAGCTTTTTCCGCATTCGTCGCATTTGTAGTATTTCTCTCCCGTGTGGGTCCGCTCGTGCGTGATGAGGTGGGATTTCCGACTGAAAGTTTTCCCGCACTGGGGACATTCATAGGGCTTTTCACCCAGGTAGGTGCCCTGAAGGCCTATAAGCTGTCCAACTTCCCTGCCCTGGGATGGCACCTCCCTGTGGTCCTCACCGGGGGTGTTCCCCTGGGGACGCCTGGAGCCACAGTCTCTCTCAGAATCACTTTCCCAGTCAGACTGCCGAACGCCTTCCCGTTTGGGCATTTCTGAGAAGATCTCATGTGACTCCACATCCTCAAATATGTCTTGATTAGAGTTCTCCCCATTTTCACTCTGGATCTCAAAATCTGAAATAATGAAGAAAAACTTGCAATTTATACTCAGTTCCCTATAATGATGAGAAAAGGAAACCCAAAGGGAAAGTTTGAAAAATTCAACTTGTAGCGAAAATAACGAGGCTCAAGAATCCTTAAAACTTTTAAAAACCAGGTTTATTTCCTTCTAACTGGTTATCTAGTTGGCAGGCCTCAAACTTCCTGTTAGTCACCCAGAATGTCTAAGTCTTAAAAGCTGTGGGTTCTATGTCTTTACTTGTTTCTCCCCTGGAAAATGAGGGCAGGTTGCAATTTGAACATCCTCATCAAGGGAAAGTAGCAAAGTATACAATGACCCCTAAACCTCCCCACAGTGCCTGATGCTTAGAAGGTGCTCAATTAAATTTGATAAATGAATGAGTTTTTACTTGGTATCACAGATTTCCCTAAAGCTGTAACTTGAGATGCAGGGATCTATTCCTGCGTAACTTATGAAGTGGGGATCCAATTTTAGTTTTTTTCAACGTAGTGAGACCACTGTCCAAATACTACTCACTGACCAGTTCATGAATTGCCATAGGCAGCCCGAGCTGAGCAGCCG